GCTTTCCCTACAAGGGAAAAAATAATGAACCTCCAATAAAACGTGCCACCCCCTGGGTGTGTATCTGAAATGCGGCCTGAAAGATGCATCATGGCTGGTAATGACAAGTTTAGAGAGGAACAAATAGCATAAGCCATTGCATAAGGACTACCAGGCATCCGAAGAACGAAGAGCGAGAAATCTAACTTTCGTTTGAAGAGTTTGAGTAGTGAGGCATTGTATACAGATTGCGGAAATACAATGAACATCAGTCGAAAGAGACAAGCAGATATGAACAAGGACGCCGGAGCCATGCATGTGGAACACCTCCAATGAATATAATAGGAAGGTATTTTGATCTATTTTACCACGCTGGAACTTAGAAACGGAGCAACCGTAGGATGATCGACAGCTAGATGAATCAGGAAGATCTGGATAAATAACGAGTCAATGAATGAAGATCTGTAAAGAAGAACGATACACCCCTGTTGTCCAGACAAAAAAGGGGTTTGAGGTACCCCACTTTAAGCCGTTAGCTTCAAATGTATAAATCGTGAGAAAATGGTAGCATGCTCTTCTTAAGAAAGTCTTCTAGTCTACAAATTAAAAGCTTGAATCACGGGACAGTGTTTTATAGGAGTTTCTTGAGGAGCCAACGCCTCAATGATCTGATCCGTTTGGCTACCGGGGGTGGCCTGGCCCGAAGACGCAAGAAATAAAGCATGAATGTCTGACACTTAGTGCGGCCGTGCACAGCAGGTACTTCTGAGGAGCACCGAACTCTTTGGCTTCGACCATACTGAATAATCTACCGGCTGTCATGGTCAGCCGTCCGGCAATCGGAATGCGAGATTTCTAGTGTCGACGTTTTCTAATCTGTCCGTCATCAGAGGAACGCAGCATCGCTGCTTCCATAAATGTTAATATGCCCATCGTTCGAAGGAAACACCTTACCGCTTTCACAGTCCTATCACAGAGGACAAACTGAAATTACCTCCAGGTCTCCGCGTGATACGATTTCTAGCAGTATGGAGGCAATGCTCTTCGTCGAGCTGCTCCACGTTGGCTTTCGTGGCATGACTGAACCTTCAGGAACTGAGTTCCAGGCAATATAACCCACAGGAATACTGTAGCACAAAAGCTCGACTACCTCGACAAGGTGATAGCTTTAGACCAGGCGGATAGGAGAAAAAAATGTTGAATACCTCGTTGATAACCTGAAGCAATACGGCCACGTCAAAGAAACCGATAAACATCCACGTTATGGCGACTGATTTTTTATTGTGGTAACTTCCTCTTGGAGAGGGATAGGTCGGTTCGAAGAATATCCCGAATTACTTGGGCTTTTCAAGCCCGATTAGCAGCATATTTAGGACGCCACCATGGACATGTGTACGAGAACCGTTTGTTTTAGGACCGTCATCATTGACAGCAATACATCAGTAATAAGGACGGATCTCTGATTTCGTGAAGCCAATGTCGAACTGCAGAGCAGCAGGAAGGATCCTGGGTTGGTGACATGCCTATTCCTTCGGATCTGACATTCGTTCGAGTTAATTATTTTGTTCTCCATTATTACAAGTGCGACCCACAGAACAGCAAAGCATCCAGGGTGTCGGTGACCACTATAATCCACTAAACCACTAGGAAATGAATAGAGACCCGATCTCTCGGTGGCACAAGAGAGCTCCTTATAAAAAATACTCACCATGAAGCAACGTCGTCAACTGGTATGTGCGGCACTTTGTATGTGATGCGGTTATCAGCGCAAAACTCGCCACGCTCTGGTGGTACCAGAGTGCTAATGTAGTCATATTATGTGCGACATCGTTGCAACATTTGATCTCTAATTTACACTGTCCTCCACATCATTCACAACTAGGCGCTGCGCGAAGCGGAATCATGGCACTCGAGGGCCGAAGCGGAAAGCGCAAGAAAAGAAACTGGAGAACAAACTCACCACATCGGGAGAAAACACAGGAAAATAGCCAAAAATAAAACGAAACCGGAAACTCACTCGCAGCAGTCCTTTCTTGTGCCGAAGAGTCCATCTTAGAGAAAGAACGGCGTCAGGGCTACAATCCGAGGAAATGGAAACTGCTATACAAAGAATTAGATTGTAGATCCGGCCAAAAGAGAATGATACCCACTGTGTACTAATCACTTGACAAAACAAAGGAATCAATAGCTAGAAACTCAGTATCAAAAAATAATGATAAACACATTGAGGCACTCAGAAAACACGAAGAACGAGTACATACACCCGAAATGTAGAAATTCGACAAATGTGAAACAATTGGGATCGTTCATGGCGTTTTGAGATCCATAATCACTTTTGGGTGTTTCGGCCGTAAACAAAAGGCTGGCCCTTACTGTCGTGGGATGGTTTGTGAGCCTTTGCCACTCAATAAGCTATGCTGGAGGAGGGGATGTCCGTGCAACGTTCACTCCCCTGCAAAAGCTTGGTCACTGGTTAGATGTCTGAGGAACAGTCTTGTGGTCTTCCAGACTGGGGGTCGGAACATTCCTGGAGACTTGTTCCCTAAAAATGGTGATGCACCAGCACTATTGGCCAAACACACCTGTCTTTCGGCCAGGATGTTGAGCCAAAAGCTTCGGTTGAGGACCCTAGTCATCCTCCTGTGTATGTGTGAGCACCCTGGCAGTAGTCCAGTCAACAAGCAACCATGAATTCATCATCATAATTGTCAGCTGTAATAACCGCGTACTCGTCGTACAGTGGTTGCAGATGCCGCAGTTTCGTTCACTGATGATTTGGGGGAGGGGGCAGGTAGCTGCGCATTGCAGGCGCGAGCTGGTAAGTTGGTGCATAAATCCAGCACTGTCAGTGGGCTGTCAAGTGAAGGGGG